GGAAAAAATAGGGAAAAAAAGCCCGATATAAACAGGAAAAAATCGAAACAACAGAGAAATTGGTTTGCGCTTGTATTTTTGTCAAGGGACCCCCCCCTCCCTCCCCCCCACCTCGCCTCGCACTAACGTCCTTTGGGCGCGGGGAAGGCCATGACACTCTCTCTCTCTGTCGCACGCCCAGGCCGCGGTGCAGAGGCTGCGCGGGCAGGGGGCCGTCCTCCGCCAGGCCCTGCGCGACCAGGACGCCGTCACGGAGCGCGCCGCCCGGGAGGCGCTCCTCACCAGGGCGCGGCTGCGCGGGGCACAGCGCGCCATCCTGGCGGCCGAGGCCCGGGAGCGGGAGGAGCAGGGCGCGACGGCGGCGGGTAGGAGGGCGGACGCGCTGCGGGCGAGGGACGCCGCGAGGAGGGCGGCGGCAGAGGCGCAGGTGAGCCCGTGTGAGCTCGTCTCCCCTTTGTCGTGGACCCCACCCTGACCCTGACCTGACGGACGGCTCCTGTCGCTCCTGTTTCTGTCAGCTCCGGGTCGAGGTGCTTGAGGACCCCGCCGGGCAGGCGTTGCGGCGGCGGCACGCTCAGGCAGGCGCCCTGGTCGCCCAGGTCGCCGTCGAACTCGGCAGCCTGGAGGAGCAGGTCCGCGCCCTGGCGGCCGCCGGCGCACAGCTGCAGGAGGTCGCGGCCGGCGACGACCCCGACCGCCAGGAGCAGAACCTGGAGCGCCGCACCGCACAACTGGAGGCTCGCTGGGCTGGCTTGGCAGGTGCGTGGTGAGGATTGGGGGGGGGGGCCTGTGCTGTAAATCAATCAATCAATCAATCAATCAATCAATCGACAAATGAATCCAATCATTTACGAGTGTGATTGTTTAGGTCGACTGGACATGATTGCCTCGGGGCGGACTGCCATTCCTGCGACCACTCTTGGTAGCGGTCCACCATTGACCAGACCCTTGTTCCTGGTAAGGCCAAAGACCCGTGCGAGTAAAGGTGATCTAATCACTTTTGTACCATTAACTTTTGGACGTTAGTTTCATTTTCCCTCTTTTCTTCTGCGTAGGACACTGAAGAGAGTTTTAATACCTTCCACCGGTTATGTTTGGATATCCAGGAAGTATGTTCTCTCCTGAAGAAAAATTAATTCATATCGTGTTGGGTCTGTTAGGATTAAGATTACAGTTCAGTGAAGTATTTATAATGTAAAAAGAAAATGCGTAACAGAATTTGACACATGTATTTTCCACAAATTCAAACTCTTATCTTATCCAGTTCATAGGTATAAATGCAGTACCTAAAAATGTTACAATATATGTTAGGAAGGAGGCAAAGCATTAGCTTTTTGGTTTTGATTTCTTTGAAATGTAGTACACATAATCAGACTGAAGTGATTTTCCTGCCTTGAAATAACATTAAAAAGATTTACAGTCTTTCCTACAACAGAGTCAACAGGCACATTAAACATTTAAGAGATATTTTTAAGTGTTTTGAGGTAGGCCAGATAAATTGCGGGTACTTTGAAACTAAAATTTATCAACAATGAAAATTTTATTTAATGTTCACAAAATTGCAAGGTAAAACATTACAATCTAGAGAAATGGGCAATCCATTTAGGTATCAACTTTCACTAAGAGTAAAGAGGATAGAATGATTGTAAGAGCAAATAGGAAAGCATTTAGAAGTGGGTAACCTGAATTAGTTCACAAGAAAAGGATTTTGGAGTTGACAATCCACAAATAAGGCTATACTAACAATAGGCACCCAAAATACATTGTACTTCACACCTTATTTTAAGGAATATCCATCATCCCACCATTCCTTAACTACAAAAATGCACCACACCTCAAAAATACATTTGTCCTCACAAATACTAGCAAACATTAGTTTTTAAATTATAATTTTTACTTGCACCAAATAAACATACAGTATCTTCTTGATTGGCAACAGTCAGAAGATGGAACAATCAGTCTAGGCTATAAAAATAAAATGAGAATATTTTCTCTTAGTTTGAGAATTACAGGAGAGTACTTCTTCCTCGCTGAGTAAGTGATGGCTCACAATTACAGAAGTAACTTAGTTTCAGTTCGCTTTAATCTAGGTATGTGCCTCATGTAATAGTGCATAAAAATATGTCACAAACATTTTAAACAGATTCATGGAAATTAATTCTCATGAAAGTTTGAGGTGAATATGAGGAACTTGTTCTTCCAGTGGCTATTGGCTAAAATGATACAGTGACCGAAAACCTGGAAACACATGGCTAAGGCAGACACTTTTCAAGCCTGTTCACTTATCTTTGGTGAAAATCACAGTGTATATTGAAAGTATCAGAGGAACAAAACCAACACACAGCTCCTGAACACCCTTTCTGCATTAGATGGATCTCAATTAAAATGAATGTGGTAGAATGTGACACTGCACGAACAACTAATTACAGTTTGCCGTGACGAAAAGAGAGCTTAGAAGTACAATATATGGCTAAGATAAATGCACAACGTCAAATGCACAGTTTTCTCACTTTAACTATGCTGAAAGCAGTTATTCAAAGTACTACTACCTATAGCATATTATTTCAAGAAAAGTCTTGGGTGAATTGAGCTGTTACAGGATTACTTTACAAGAACAAATATACCCAAATAACACATTGATCTTTTTTCCTCGGCAATTATTTTAGAGCCATAATTAAGAGTTTGGAAAATTTTGGAGTATGCTATTTAATAAACATAATAAAATTTCAACTGTAGTAAAAACTTAAAAACTTCATTCATTGGCATTACAGGAAGAAAATGGAGCAAAGACACTTTGTATTGTAATCAAAGTGTCCCTGTAGGGCAAAGTTAATTGGTTAAAATGTCCAATCAGTAGACAGCAAGAGTCTCAAGAATTCATTTGAAGGTACTGTATAAACAGCTAGAAAAATACGAATACCAGCCAATTGGAAAAGAGAATTACCCTATACAGAAGTGCTTGCTTGGAAATAAATCACACAGCATAAAAAAGGGAGGGGGGAGAGAAGGATTTAACGGCCTCTAAAGCACAAATGCAAAATTAAAGAGTCAATTTTAAAGGTGATGCAATGCTACACTCAACAATTCATTTCATTCATTTGGATTCAAACTTGAACTGTGAATAAATTAAAAAGAAACCTCAGTTAGGACTGCTAACAAAATGGATAGAGAGCAAAAAACCATACCATATTAAAAATACATAAGGTAGATAAAAGTCTGTGAATCTTTAAAAGCAATTTAAAACAAAAATCACAGCTAAAAGACAAAACAAAAGGGAATGTTTCAGAAGAGACAACTGCATTCTGACTAGGTCAGTTAAAATGGAATGATCAAAGTCAAACTGCAACATAAAGTCCACAACTTAACAGAAACATGCAAGACTTAACATTAAGAAAAACAAACATGTCCCTTACAACTAATTTTCCTACACCACCTGAGATTACATGTGCACACACAATGAAAATTAAAATAAATTTACAACAAACAAGACAAAAATGGTCATGAAAACTTCCGTTATCAAATAACGCTTCCCGTCAAAGGCATACATTGAATAATCCATGAAATTATTACAGAATATAAACTAAACCAAAGGATGATCACTTCACAACATATGGCAATATGGCAAGAAACTTATAGTAACATGTCAATAACATACTTGCTTCCAATGTCAAAATATTTCTACATCTATGAGATTCTCTGCATTTAAAGCAAAACTTTCTTGGGCACTGCACTTAATAAAAGGTTAGGGCAGAGATGTTCTGAGTAACAAGGTGCTAAGGCAGAGGTTTTAGGCCCATCAAGTGACCATCCTTCTGTCATGTGAATGCTTGCACAATACCCTTCAGTTAAGTAGTTAAACTAAGGGAAACAATGGGTTGTTCACAAAACTTTGAACTGCTTGAGCACTAAGGGTTAGATAGATAAATACATAAACCAAAACAATGCAAAAAAGTGGCAAACAAAAAAATAAAAGAAAATATTCAGAAAAAAAAACAGTATACTATACTTACTCCTATAAAACAAATAGTGGATTAAAATCTTTCTCTAAATCTACATTTATACGTCCAATCAAGTATGATTTTAGAAATCATAGCTCTTTCTTTGGCAAAAGAAAACAAAACAGAAAAAATGTTTATCATAAAAAATGCTGCACTGCTTCAATTCATAGAACTATTTTAAAAAATCAAATAAACGATAACCAACTAACTGTCAATCACATTAAGAAATCGTACCAAAAATTGGCCAGCAGCACAAATGAAAAAATTGATAAATAATGGAATGTCTTTGAGGTGTAAAATGGAACATTACAAAGCATATTATTGGCAACTGTAACATACCCAACAAAATGAAGAATGACCAGTCGGATCGGAAGAATGGCTTTTAAAAGCCAAGAATCTCGCTAATGAAAACATGAACAGTGAATATGCAGACAACAAACATTCAGTTTCGAATGGATGGCACAGCAAGAGGTAGGTCTGAAGTTGTTAGTTTACATACAAATCATATGTAGGGTAGATCTCAAGATTTGAAAATTTCATTTCCTTGTTAATTTACCACATGTCGCCTGTTGCCAAGCCTTCCTGTCATCCTCCTAGAAACAGAGTGTAATTAATAAAACACTTAAAAGTGAATGCTAAAAGAAGTTGGCAATTTTGCAAGTATGTGACATACTTGCTGTGAACGTAGTCTCACTCCATCCATGCGGTAATGCGGCCTCTCAAAAATTCCTTTGCAGGCTCATAATATAATGTTCGAATAGCTACTACCTCAGGCAAGCGACGCATGGGCGCAAGAACCCCATCATCAGGTGACTCGAGCACAAGAGCAAAAAATAACAACAGGAGGACACCAGTAAAAATCACTGCTGGCAAGAGGTAACTAGCTCGCAGCCTTACTCGGTGAGAAAGTGATTCCTGATTAGGAACTCCAGAATTCTCACCGACTCCACCTAAAATAAGATTAAGATAGAGAATTTTTTTTTGAGAGCGCTTACATTACAGACAGTAAGTAGAGTGCATACCTTGTGCAGGAACCAAAGCGCCACTGTTCAGGGACAGCTTACTTCCAGTTTTCCCTCGGGCTACTGGTGTTTGGGATCTTGATGACCTATGCGAGCGGCCCTGTCCATCAATCAGCTCTGTTGAAGACTGGTCGTAAGGCTCTCTCAGGTAGTAATCTGTGATTCCATGTACAGCACCATCCATCATATCTAAATCGCGTTCTGAAAAAGTAAACAAAATTGACGACACATGTCAAATAGAGTTAACTTTCTAATTAGAGGGGTACACCCACGAATGCAATTCAATCTGTGTGAAGCAATACATTAGTAATTACGTGTGCCTATTAAAATAAAAGTTCATGCATGGGATTTTTTTTTAAAGAATGAAGATTGTGTTGCTAATGTGACAAAATATGGACATAAAAGGCCCCCATCAAGGTTCACATATGTGGTAGAAGAAGCAAGAGGAGTTCAACCATTACTGAGCTCCTTACCCAATGAGAACAGAAACGACCTGCATCAAAGTTCACATGGTCCGCAGTAAAAGGGACAAGAGAAGTGCAGCCATGACTGGGCACCTTACCCAATTTAGATGTGCTTGCGGCAGCCATTACAAGAATAGAATGTGCAAGAGCTGGACAAAAGTAAAGCATAGAGACTCGCAAGGTATGATGTAATCTTTCAGATATGTTTCTTTCATTCGAATAGATGGTACTAATAGTGTAGATTTTCAAACATGGACATCCTGAACAAACAAAATTCATGCACTTGGACTCCATTCTATATCCATTCTTTCCTCATTACCTTCTGTACAATTTAACAAAACATTGTAGACATTGCAGGTTTGAGACACCATGCTATAAAAAACACAAACTGAGTTAATGTTAGCAAAGATGCTGTCATGCAAAGCCAACCAAATCAAACAGAAAAGCTTGCTCCTCACATTAACATTAATGCCGGGGTTTCCCTGGACAATCGACCATACAGCCACTTGCTCCTTACAGTTACTGCAAGTGCAGAGACTCAGATACTCTTCAAGTAGAGTTCACAATAAGAAAAAGACCACTATTTCTTTGACAGATAAGCTTGATGCAATTCAAGAACTCATAATAGGCAAGCAATAACTTGAAGTCTCACCTTTGTTACCCAAACCCTGATATGACATACGTTCAGATAACACACACCCAATTGATTTCAAGCTAATGCTCAGTAACTGAGGATAGATAGATTTCTGACCCCCACATTTTTTATCAGTGCACACCACAGAAGCAGTCATATCGTTATTAGTCAAACTTTGCTGGTAACTTTGAACATTTTGATTCAGCAAATAACCCTGAATACTATAGTGTGTCTCATGGGTGTATTCTGTGTCTTTTGAACCACTTTTGCATTCACTGCAAATAATTTCAAAAACTTCCCCGTGTTTATATTTATCTTCTTCATTATCATTGTTGTCATTCATTATCTCTTTATCATGGAAACTTTTTAAGAGTTTTTCATCATTATTGTCATCTTCAACATCCTCATCTTCCTCCTCATCTTCTTCTTGAATATCTTCCAAACAATCTCCAGTAAAATTTTCAGTAAGCATAGACAGAAGGCTTGATTTTCTCTTAACTTCAGTTTCATTATGGGACTGATTGTCACAGAAGAGGTTACCATAAGAACCACCTCCAAGGCAAAAGCACCACCACCAAAGCAACAAAAACAAAAAAGCAAATTACACAAGAAAGGAAATATACTTAAAACGCTTTCAACGGAGACTCATCTACAGATATCTACAACAGCTTCTAAAATTAGAACACCGGTATAGCTAATCAACACACCCACAAAAACAACTAGAGAATAAAAACAAGATAAGAAAAGGCCACTTGAAACAAGAAAGCATATATAAAAATAAATATTTTTTAAAAGGGATTTTTAAGATTTTGTACACATTTACACCCTGTAGGGATACATCTTATCATAAAATGAAGTAAAAAGTAGCCTTGTGGAATGTCTAGATGCATGCATGTTGAGCTTTAGACTATTTCACACAACTACATTTTAAATAAAGTCTACACTAAGATAGGGAAAAAAAAATCTAATGCCCTAGCACTGAGATTAAAGAAAAGCTGATTTCATCATCTAAAGTATGAATATTAACTCTATAAATAAAGAGATTGATTTCAACAAGGGGAGTATGACCTGTATCAAAGTTATGATTGATACTTTCTTACCTGTATTCCTCTGTCTAGAATGAATTTCATGGTCTTCACTAACAGTTTCTAAAAGTGGCAAATTATTTTCCAAGCAAAATGAACCTTCGTCATTTGAAGCAAGTAGACTTGGCCCACCATCTAATCTAGAATCTGGGACAGAGTGATTGGAGCGAGGAAGATAACCTGAAACAAGATAGATGTACCATTGATCCTGATCCTGATCAGTAATAGTTCATACATACTTAAAGAAGTTTGAAAAAAAAAAATTAATAGCCACTTTCACATGAGTCAACAATTTCTGGCCACTTACAAATATCACTCATGTCTGTGGGTGAGGAAGGTGTAGCAGGAACACTTGACGCTTTACGTCGCAAGCTGCCAAGGCGATTAATTGTTGGCTCTTCCTGGCGGAGGGGTCCAACTTCTTCCAGTAATTCACGTTCTGTTCGCCCAGTGTACTTAAATTTAGTGCCAAATGAGAAGAAACTGCCACCCGAGACCACAGGAACTACAGATCCTGATGGCAGACTATAAAACACATTCAAATTTTAGTTTGGTTTCTTACAACAAACTGAAGGAGAAATTGAAGGTTTGCTCAGAAACTTACGTAAAGAAAAGCATTTGCTCAATAGCACAGCGCCAAACATGTCGGCATGCGGCCCCAGTGGGACATTTAAATCCAACAGTCTGCTTTTTCTAAAACAGATAATAAAATAAAAATGTCTGAGAGTGATAGTTGTAAGTAAAACAAAAGCACAGACAAACTGAAAGATTACAAAAATAGGAAAGAGCACATGATATACAGACAATCAAGTAGTTTGTACCTTTGTCCGAGGATCCTGTAAAGATAATCAAAAACAGATAAATATTAATTTAATTTGCCATTATTCGGAAACTTAATTATACAAATTTTCCATAACTTACTTCATTGTATGTCAAGTGCACAATAAACATTTTGCCTTCATAGTTGATTTTATGCACTTCAGGCCAACGAAAATGGTGAGTTTTCCTGGAACCTTGAAATGTGAGGATGCCCAAATGATTTATTCCAAGGTACAGCTGATTACCTCGGTGGTCCTGAAGAATAGAACATAACATCATGGGCATGTGTCACACAACAGTATTACAGTAGATATAGAAATTAATCTTAAGAAATTGTTGCTGAGGAAGCAAACCTTGACTGGGTGAGGATCTACTCCATAAGTGTCTAGAACACAAGCACGACGTAGGAAGTTAGTTTCAACTTCCTGTGGTGACTGTCCATGTAGATGAGTCTGATGAAGCTCAATAATCTTTTCCTCAATTTGAGGAGTTTGTTTTAAAAGTAGTCGAAGATCTTGGACATAGTTCCCCTCATGATCTTCAGGATTAAAGTCCCCAAGATCAGCTAAAATACATAAATAAAGTAAAATTCAGACAGTCATACTGGATAAAACTCATGAAAGAACAAATTAAACAAACCTTGAACAACATATGCTGCAAGAAGTGCTGCTTCATTTGAGGTACAATAAAGACGGCCATGAAGGAGATCACGACGAAGCTGTAGGTAAACTTGATAGCGGGAGATTTCCTCTTTTAAGCGAAATGGGTCTGGTGGATAGAATTTGACTCGAAAACTGAAGAGTAACGGATCCACATCTAGTAAAAATAAGTTATTCCATGAAATACAACAAGAAATAGATGGTAACAAAAAATATTGTGAAATTGTATAGGCTTTTACATTTGACTTGTTTTAAAATTGTCTTGTTCAGGTCCAGCCAATGCTGCAATGAAGGCAATAAATAGTAAAACACTAGTGATAATAAAATAGCCATGAGATAAGAATATTGTTGATCAAAAATAAATGAACTTACTCTTTGTTTGTTCAGGTCAACATATCGAAGACCAAAGTAGTCCTTTTCTACTAAATTTAATTGCTGACAAACTTGATCTAATAGATCTTTTCCTTCATAAACGGCCTGTTACATGGAAACAAAACAAAACAAAAATCATACGGTAAGTCAACTTATTTTTTGTATACATTAATCTTGTATTACAAATTATCCAAATTTAGTACAGTTGATGCAATATTCTATTTCCTAGTAAAGTCGTCTATTTCTGTTGTAGTTGAAATAATTTTAAAAATGTTTATGACATCAATACTGCTAAAAAAACCTTAAAAACTCTGGAATAACAACAAAATCAACCTAATTATTGACGTTATAGGTTATCCTCGCTAGCCGATTCCTTAGCAACTTTAAGTATTTCATTGAGACACTATTATCACACTCAAACAAGGAAATCAGGCATGTTTCCTTCTGTTCTTAAAGGAACTCAAAGTTACAACAGTAGATTTTGAAAACCGAGCTATTACCTGAAATTCGCATTCGAGGACCTCAGTGTCATCCAGTAAGCGCACTGTGCATTTGAAGGTTGTATTTACGTCGTTCCTGCTACCAAACCTCAACATTTTGACGCAATTTTGCTCCCGAATCTATAGTGAAACCCCGATTCCTAGGATTTTTAAGAAAAACAACATGCGTAAAGAAACAAGCTATAGAATCAACATTTTTCGTGCCCCATGACTGCGGCTAGTTCTGGTCGGTCGGCTGCTCGGAAAGGGGGCGGGGTAGTGGGGGTGGGGGCGGTTGCTGTCAAACCCAAGCGGACTCTGACGTCATTCCTTCTAGCTAGGAGGCAAGATTTGAATGGTTATATCTACTTCGTTTTAGATTGGATTGGGGTCTGTGTTTTCAGTAGTGGTTTTTAATGCCAACAAGAATAAATGGTAATTATTGTCTCCATCATGTTCCCTTTTACTTCTTTATTGTTATAATCATAATAATCATGACAGTAGGATTTACTTACAATAAATACATGTCTAATCAATTGCTCAAGAGCTTTTAAAAATTAAATTTAAACTGAGACAGGATGCCAAAAGCTCGTCAGCACCCAAGCTTATGGTATAAACATCCCTTTTAAGCAGTCCTAAAGAATTTCTTTTAATATATCACATATATGTGCCATATTCCTCTACAACCCACTAAAGGCTTGACATTTAGAAGATTTTTAAAATTTACAGAAAACTAAGCCAGGTAACAACTACATTTTTGAAAGTGTGGAGGAAATTTGCACAACAATTGAGAATCAAAATAACTACCTATATGTATAAAATTGAAGACTTAGCCTTCAAAGAATGCATACATTGTGTGCAGCAATATCATGTGTCAAGGAATTCTGATAAGGTCTGATAAGGTGACAGGTGAGAATTTTATAGCATAGAGCGAAGGTCTTAAAATTGCAGAGTACTTCTAGTATGCTATACTCACCACCTCTTCATTCTAGGACAAACAATCTGTGATTTAAGTGGTTTTCATCCTAAGTTTAAAAACAGGGCAGTGATATTTTCATAAATTTTTCAGTTACAAGATAAAATACATCTGGATGTACTACTTGTATGTACTACCTATATAAAAATCATACAAAGTTCTGAATAGACTCTCACTGTCTGTTGATTTAGATCTGAAATGTGTGAATCCCATTACTAGAAATGTACCTCGAGTAAATACTATCTTAAATACTACTCAATAAAATAGTCGAAAAATTAGATGTTTGAGCAGTATTAACAGTTAAGTACAGCTCTCATTGGCTACACACACATACAAATTTGTATCAGATATACCAAATACCTAAAATAGTAGGCGGTTATCTATTTAAGTTGATGTACTTTTAATGTTGTTGGAAGTTTACAAGTGTTAGGCAACATTGGCCAGTTGTGACCGCGATAGAATGAGATTGATAGAAATACTTGCCACAATTTCATTCTAACCCAATAGATTAAAAATATGAGCTGAAATGTTAGCTCACTAATCTTATCATTAATAGCCTCGAAATTGTTTCAATGAGCAAATCTGAAATTTAAGAGAACTATTTTAATATTGCACAAAATAAAGCAGATCTCATTGTTTCACATGAGTTTTATACAGTTAATTTAGAAGTAACATTTAAAGTTATGAGGCAATTCTGCTGACATTAAAAAATCGCAACACCCTCAAAAATTGATCAAAATGGAAATGTTATGTTTTTCAGCAAAGGCAGATGAGTGATGTTCAGTGATTGTAGTGATAGTGAAACGAGTCTTGGACAGTCATTACTTCGCAGCCTGCGCCTGCTTTGCTGCAGCTTCCTCCTCTTTTTTCTTCTGTTTCAATCGCATGAGTTCGGCGTCCCTGTAAACAGAAAGAAACTTTTACAAATATTGAGGCAAGATAACTTTAAAATGACCTTTTAGGAAGCCAATTTCACCTGTGTCTCCTTTGCTCTAAAGTCATTTCTCCATCAGCTCCTCCCTTCTTTTTCATAAGCTCCTGCTGCTTCTTTTGGTTCTTTGCTCGGGCAAGTTCACGTTGATTTCCACCTAGAAACACAATTTTTTTTTTGGAAAAACGGGGTCAGTTAAACGCTTTATGCAAATAAATTGGTAGAATAATACCTATTGAAAAATCTAACATTATTTTGAACAGTTTTTTTTTTTCAGTTATCTGCACTATTGAGTATGTGTCGTTAGCATCAGAAACTTAATGAGCTAGCCGATCAACTTCAGAGCAATCACTGCTTTGAGTTCAGTAAACTTCAACTGACACAGTTATCAAAACAAACAGTATCATCAGGGAGGTTCTTTAACCTTTTCAAAACATCAGGTGACGAAATTTAAAATAAATGCAAGAGCCGACTCAAAAAAGTAGTCCTGCATAGTTTTTTTAATTCAATTCGACATTTGAAAGCCAAAATATTTGAAAACTGTGCCGACGGTTGCAAATAGAAATCCGAAGCTGGGGCGTCGAAGTTTCCAGAAAAACCAATGCTTTCGCGTGGTGCGAGGAGCCTAGGGCAGCTCAGGTGAGGGCTCCAAAGCGCGAAGTGACGGGCGCGTTGCAAGGGACGGCGAGGAAGAGTTGAATGAAATGTTCCAAAGACTATCGGAGCGCAAACCTTAAAGCACTTACGGGTCATTTTTGCCTGCTCCGCTCCTGCGCCGACACAAGACTTAGGTTAAAGCTGGGACTTCTCTCGAGTCTCTCAGGCGGTCCAGCCAACCCCTCCGGCGAAGGAGACTCCAAACGCGACTGGACTTGGGTGACAGCGGGGTGATCAGCTGTGTGGAATGCTTGGGGAGGCGAAGGAGAGCTGCAAGGATTGCCGAGAGATGCGTTACGCGTTGTGCACCAGACCGACTGTACTACTACTACTGCAACTGCCACCGCTGCTGCTCCCCACGAGTGTGTCTGTTCGTCTGCTGTTCTCCGAGCCGGGCCGGGCCGAGCCGAGCCAAGTCGTCGCGTCAACCCAAAATGCAACGCTGCGGCTGGCTGTGGCGACGACGACGGCGACGACACTGCGCAGCGAGATTGCAGCAATAAGTCTCCTCCTCTCTGCCTTGCCTGCGGATTAGCCAAACAACTGTTTTATTTGACCCACTTATTGGACGACGCAAGCAGACAGTCGTGATGATGGTGCTGTCAGGAGGAGGAGGAGGAGGAGGAGGGGGGGGGGGCTTCCAGGCTCGGTGGCCACTGCCGGACTTCCCTCACGTCCTGGACCCACCAGAGCTTCCCCGTCGTCGAGTAGCTGCGGATGCCGAGGCGGGAGGAGGGGTTAGGTCTCGACGATGATGCTCCCTCCCCCCGTTACACCTTTCTCCAAAAGTAAGAGGAACGTTCGAGATGCGCCCGCTCGTCCGCCGCGGGGCCGCGTGGCGTGGTAGGTGTACCGGGCCTCCGCGCCGGCTCACCTTGGCCGGGAGCTGCTTGGAGGGGATCCGGGTGCGGATCGGCGGTGCGGTGTTGTTGGGATGCCGCGCACCGCGTGGTGGACCGGACCGCTAAACCGGCTGACCCGCGGCGGAGCGGCGGCGGGTGTGCGGGTGACGGCCCTAAAAATACACCACCAGTGGCGTAGCCGGCAGCGCGACAAGTGTCGCGGGGCTTCTAAGTACACGATCGAGGAGGTGTTTGCGGGGTCGTTGTACCCCGGGGTGTACCTCGAGGGTAGGGTGCGCGCCAGGGTAGTGGTGGTAGCCGTCACAGAATGGCCCCTTAGGCTCGGCCGGTGTGGCGGGTTTGCCTAGTCCCTCCGCCCGGAAGGCGCGCCATGGCCCCAAGTCGGTACACAAACCCCGCAACACTGCAGCGTCCTTTCTGTTTACACCCCTCACACCATGGCGGAGCTGCGGTGGGTGCTCGAGTCGCGGGCGGTACAACACGTTGCCGGACGTCAGCAGGCAGCAGGTGGCACAGGTGGCCGCCGGCCACGAGCGGTGAACGAACGTACGCGAATCTGGCGGGACGTGTACGGCGCTACGGCGCTGGCAAACTTGTTTCCACGTTGTCGTTTATTTGCTTAATTGGTTTATCGTGACATCACAGGCATTGGCTATCACTGGAATGATGCCAGGTTGACTCAATCTTAATCAATCTATTAATTTTACTATGAAGTCACTTTGATGTCGTGGCAGATCTCTGTCACCTATGAGTTTGCCCCCCCCCCCAATCATGTGTATGCCTGGGTTATGGCATTGGCTATTTTCAGTCATTTTACGAAATGAATACAATTTACGAAGTGTGATTTTGAACGATTTGCGGGTGCCATAATTTTTGCGACATGCTCGCCCCTCTCTTGCTTAGACCTCAGTCGTTCGTTGGTTAGTCTGGTACCGGTACTGTACTTCGTGTCGCCTCTAGCTACCAAACACGACTTTGTATAGAGCTATACGTATCAGGTATCGCTTGCACTGTTGGGAATAAGTAAGATAGAACAGCATTATAAAATGTATGAAGGTATGAACGCCGTGAGTTGAAAATGTAGGTTTTGTTTAGTGTTGAAAGTCAGCTTTAAAATCTCATTTCCCCCATAGCTGATTACCCAGTGAGAAATTTTTTCCGACGACATCGTTTCGACATCGTTTTTTACGTCGGTTCGACTTAAAAGTGGTCCTGAAATCGACGGCTTTTCAACAGTTGATGTCGTTTCGATGCCGTTTCGACGTTTCACTGTCGAAAAGCCGTCGATTTCATGGCCACTTTTAAGTCGTAACGACATGAAAAACGATGTCGAAACGATGTCGTTGGATAAATTTCTCACTGGGTAATCCAATTTTGTTGACATTTTTCTGGATTTGTTTTTCCCGCCTGATATTTTTGGAATGGTTAACTCTGATATATATATGTTTGGAGTGAAGTTTACCCCTCGGGTAGGCCCGCCCCGGCCGCGCGGAGGAGGGCACCCCTTGCCTGGCTGGGCACCCTGCCGCGTCCTCGAGCTCCCCCCAGGACGGAGCCGGCGGCAGCGGCGCGTGGCTTCATCGCGCCTCACGGCCCGCAAGCGGCCCGCCCGCTTGACGCTATGGGGCCCATCAAGAGGGTCAAGGCTGCTGAAGCCGCGGGTCGGGAGGTGGGTGGATAAATTCCAGTGGTGCTGTTCTACTCTGGTTGTAGTGGGAGAAAGATGGAGTAAAACTCGCCCCTTGCCATCCTGGTGTCGTGCGGGCGGGTATACCGGCGCGGGGCACGGCGCCAAGTTGTTGTTGTCTGGGCTGCGATGCAGCCGATTTGGTATACATTGTGAGGGCAACTGCGGGGGCGCGTAGACAGTGACAGTGAGAGGGCAACGCTTTTATTGTCATCCTGTCCAAATAAATAAATAAAACAACGATGAAGAGACGGGTCGACGCGCGGGCGGCTGATAGTGCGGCAGGAGTCGGTGACCATCAGGCGGCGGCGCAAAGTCCTCGTCGCGGGCACCCACGCCCACCACGGGTCACACCGACATGACGTTCTGCTGCTGCTGCGGCGGCTGCTGCTGCTGGGCGGGCGGCTGCACCGGCCGCAGGACCCGGCCCACGGCCTTGGCCTCGGACACGCTGTTCGGCAGCACGGCGTTCAGCGTCTCGGGCAGCATGAGGGTGACGCACGCGCCCCCGAGGCACACCACGCTGAACACCAGAATGGGCATCCCCCAGAAGAACACCTCCTGCGGACGGTCAGAGTCCGCGTGACTATAGGTATTTCAATTTTTCGGTAAATTATTTGTGGGAACATAATTCAGGAGTTTTTTTTAAAGATCTCTGAATTTTTCCTTAAAAGGTTAAGTTTTTTCTCATTTTTCTGGAAATATTCCCATTTTTTCCATTTTTTTCTGGAAAAGTTTCGAATTTTCCTGGAAAATTTTCGGACTTTAAAATTTCTGCGCGTCTTGTCGACCGGCCCGGTCCGTGTTATGTTATACCCACCAGCAGCGGGGCCTGGGGCGCCACCACGGACCCGATCCTGCCGATGGTCGAGCACAGCCCGATGGCGGAGTGTCGCGCGTTGGTGGGGAACAGCTCGGCCGTGAACACGTAGAGCACCGTGAAGGACGTCGTGATGCCCAGCTTGCCCGTCAGGTACAGGATGAGCTGCAGCCACTCGAGGCCTGCGACACGAAGCCATACACACGAGAGTCCAGTTCCTCCATTCTGTCTGTATCTGTGGTTGGCATAGGGTTGGAAACCTTGGAAAGTTTTCGGAAAATTTCAGGAAAATTGCGGGAATCATCACAAAACTTCCGGGAAAATGGAAAATATCTCTGACTTTGGAAGTTTTTCGTTATTTTCAGGAAATTTTCGGAAATTTCAGCCCTAGGTTGTCCTGTCTCACCTTCGGGGAGCATCAGGAAGGCGAGCAGCGAGCCGCCCGTGACGATCAGGGCGCCGCCGACGCCGGCCCGCCGCCCCCAGCGGTCGGACACGAACCAGGCCACCACGTAGGAGGGGATCTCCACTAGCCCGGCCAGGATGAAGTTGAGGTACAGGTCGCCGGCGAGCGCCACGGACCGCATCGCCAGCCCGAAGTACACGAACGAGTTGGCCAGCCTGCGGGGGTCAGGTCAGAGGTCAGGCCGTGGGGGGCGGTGAGAGGGGGGCGCGCGCCAAGGACTCACCAGAGGACGGTGGTGAGCCACAGCCGGCGCTGCAGCAGCCCGGAGCGGAACACCTGCACGATGGGCGAAGAGTCCCACCCTCGGCCGCCCCCTGAGGAAGGGTTATTAACACGCTCAGTGAGTGTGGTCTCTGCCGCGGGTAAATGCCGCAATTTTTAACATTTAGTTTTAAAAAGGGGGAAATGAAAACGCTGGCGGTAACGTGTCACTCCAGGCGGATGTCAACGAACGACGGCTCCCCGTTGGCGCGCGGTGTGCCACCGGTACTCACCGCCCGAGGCAGCGCTGGCGACAACCTGCGGGTTCATAGAAGCGATAGCGCGGCGTCAGCACACACAGTCACCAGCATCGACGAAACGCGTCGTGCGATTGATGATTTTATTTTTTGGTTGATAAAATGGGGTTTGTTTGACGGGTACCTTGGTGCTGCGCAGCGTGAGCGGCCCGGACAGCGGCACCCGGTTGACGGCCGCCACCCTCCTGAGGATGGCCTCCGCCTCCCCCGTGCGGCCCCGCGACAGCAGCCAGCGCACCGACTCCGGGAGGAACCTGTGCGAGCAGAGAGCAGTACTTGGTACTTCAATCAAGAAGTCAAGCTGGTGCACCCCCAAAAATTCCAGTGAAAATCCAGGAAAAATCCAGGAAAAATCAAGAGAAAAATTCAGGAAAAATCAGGAGAAATCAACATGAAGAAACAGGAGAAATCAACATGAAGAAACAGGAAAATCGCTTAAATTTATAGTGGGGCCCGTGCGTCAGTCAAGTCGTCGTTTGTGGTATAGCGCTCACCACACCGCAGCCACGGACAGCGCCGCCGGGAGGTAGCCGATGCGGATTTGCCAGCGCCAGTCGGGCTGACACCAGGCCACCGCGCCCAGCAGCGCGATCCCCAGCGAGAAGAAGCAGGCCACCACGGAGCTGCCCACCACGCGCTGGCGCGCCGCCACCAGCTCCACGCCTGCAGGACCACATAAAAAAAACGTACCATCCAATTTTAAAAAAGTTAATGATAATCAAGGTA